TATAAACTAAGTCAAGTAATGGGAAGGGAGAGCACCTCTCCATGGGTGGGTTTGCATCTGCTCTGTGCAGCGCACTGTGGGAAAATCCATCTGGCTCTGACATGCTACATAAATGTGGGGTGCCCAGCATCTGAAGGGATGTTCATTTTACTTGCTGTCTGTATTCATCATCTTACTCTATCTTATTAAAACAATCATTAAGATATTTTTTGCTAGACCTTTCTTTCTGAGACCCAGAAAGGGCCCCACACTCTCTCTCGCCCTCTCCTCAACCCCCTTCTCTAGTGCAGAACAGCTGCCCAGGTTACAGTAGTTATCAAATAAAATAAAAGGTTATTTTTTTTAATAAATTCCTCAACCTCAGCTTTTCTCTAGGCTGAATTTGTAAGGGAAAGAGTCTCACATTATATGTTGCATGCATGTGTATATGTCAGTTCATTCCCAGTAGTAACATTTTAATCACTGTCACACTTCACTAAATGTGATAGAGGAACAGCAAGAGTAGTCATCTGAATAAAAGGGGAAGAACCTGCCAATACTTCTGCCAATCCTCCACCTCACTAGTATTAGAAAAGCATCCTCTTTTCCCTATTTTCCCCAAATATAGAGCCACAGACATGCCCAGGTCAACCCTGAGATGCTAGTTTGTAGACACTGTTCTCCATTTTCCCTGCGGGACTCCTATGGGTTTTTACCACTCTCCTACTGTGGGTTTTTAATGACTCATCTTGCAGTTGGCCACTGCACTTTGCTTTAAAGATTACTTGAAATATTCTTAAATAAGGTGGTGCTGCCAACTTTGTTAGTTTAATGATCATTTCCTTGTGATCTGGACTCAACTGTTGCCACCTTCAAGCTCTCTACTTGATCACCCTGCCCATTCTTCTCTAAGCCCTCTCAAACTTTGTTCACAGGACTCAGGTGGCCACTAGTTGAACAAGACGGACTTCTAACTTTTTAAAACCATTATTATCTTGCAGTAGCAAAGCATTTCTCAACCCGTCAAGCAACCAGCTTGCTCTTGAGTGTCAACTCTGAATTTCTAACATCCATGTCCATATTACATCTCCACTGCATCTGCTCCACATCTGCCTCCTCTGTTGTGCCCCAGTGATGTGGAGATGTTGAAGCAATCTGCAAGAATGATAAAGATTCTGCATCAAAGAGCCTGGGATGTTACTGGGTTTATAATCCTTCTGTGCACATCATCAGTGAAATTTCAAGTTATATGTTTTATAGTCTATCTTAATCATCAAGCTATTACAGAGCATGCACTGTTTCCCCAGTGTTATTTTAAATTCCCAATGGTGAATTTTTTTTTTTTTACTTCTATAAATCCACCACACAAATGCTGCTGAGAAAACAATAGGCAGGGGTTAAGTAGTCTTACGTCCCCTTCTCCTTGCCAGCTTCCTACTGACAAAGACATTTATGCCAGGAAAAAGGCACAGCTCTCTAGTTTCAGAAGTGCCACGTGGTCTGCTTGGGCCCCATCGTCAGAGCGATGTGCAGAGCCCGGCTGAGCTCAAGTGACTCGTGCAGGTCAAAGCTCTGGCCAGAGAAGGCTGAGGCAATGCTGTCCTGGTGGGTGATGCAACCAGAGGCTCTGAGAGGGCTGTATTTCTTACTGCAAACATCTGCCTGTCACTTGGCATTTGAACGTGCAGTTGGAGGCTGCTGGTAGGTGCCTGTGTCACGGTAATGACTGTGACAGGCTTTTTCCATCCCTGAGCAGGAGATGGTTCTGGCATTTGGTTTAAGAGCAGCTTTGAAGCCACTGAGTTCCTCTGCTTGAGAGCAGGCAGTGAGGATGAATGCTGCACAGGGCTGTGTTTCAGAGCAGCCCAGCAATTAACCAGGCAGTGTTGTGCAGCTCTGCTGACTGGTGCTGCTAAACCTGCGTACAGCAACGTCTTGCCCTGCCAGTGGCTGCTGCAGCCTTGGAAGTGAGCAGAGACTGTTCAGTATTGCCCTTCATGCTATGCTGTTACAGAGGAGTTGGATCTGAGCCTCATTTCTTTGAGCCTCTTCTCCCTTCTGCCCATAGCTTTGCATGGAGCCCAGGAAACACCCAACACCACTATTTCAGTGCCTGCTCTCTGCTGCATTTCCCTTCTTTTCAGGTGGAAGCCAGTGCAGAAATGGTTCTCACTTGAGCATAAAGGGAATGTGTGCCAAATGCAGGGCAGCAGCTGAAGAAGACAATGCAATGCTGTAACAGTGTGCCATGATGCAAAGACCCACACTCACATGGAATGCTGTTTTCAGACCTGACCCTGTGCCAGAATGGCTGTAATGTGTTTGGCATTTCTCCTGTGGATTGTCAGAAGTCTGGAGTTACTGCTTTATTATAAGCAAGGGATGGTTTAGCCTAGGAATAAGTTAGTAAGGAAAAGCATAAGAGACTGTCTGGTTTCAGGAAAGGATTACTCATTGATGCAGCATAAAGGTATTCTCTTCTTATATGAAGAATAGGCAATTACAAGCTGGAACAGAAGCAATAAACTTTTCCTCCCTTCCCTGAACTACACTCTGCTTCCACTGACAAAAGGAAAGAAAACTACAAGACTTACACTGTATCTTGAAATTCTTTGGTAACTTTACAGCCTCTTTCAAACACAGAGGAAAGCTGACTAATAAGAGCCCAGTACCACCAGTTCCCATATTTTCCAACCAGTTGAACATCTTAGAGCTGGGCTGTCAGCAGCAGTAGCTCAGTGCCAGCCCAGCATCTTGTGTCACTTCTGAAGGACAGGCTGTAGAGCAGGGCAGGCTGATGGGAAAAGTGCTGATAAGTGGGGCATCTGCAAGCTTGCCTCCAGTTTTTGGGAGATGCCCTAGGCAGAGGCCACCAGGATGTCCACCCTGGACAGACTCCCACACTAGTCAGACTCCATGCAAGATTAAATTTAGGGCACTGCTGGAGCTGCAGAAACAAAACCCTTGTTGCCTGTGCGTTGGTGTATCCTCTTTAGTCATGGCACAGGACAGAGCAGTGGTATCCTGCTGGGACAGCAGCCCAAGCACCAGCATGAACTCATTCAGCTGTCAGGCACATATTTATCCAAGAAGGAGGAGGAGGAGGACTAAAGGGCCCCAAGCACTCTTTTGCTCATCCATCTTAAATAACTTTCTTGCACCACAGGGCCAGCCCTCCTCCCAGTGGCTCTGGGACACCTGACACTGCCTCCTAAGGGTCTGTTGGCTGAAGAAAGGCCAGACAGCTAATGGGGTTGTTATTCCATGCATTCAGCCCTACTCGGAGCCACAAGCTGCCAGCAGTTTGTTCAGCATCTCCTGGTGGCAGCTCTGATGATGAATTAGACCCTAATTTCCATCTGTTGCGAGCAACGAGCCACTGTCAGGGAGCGGGGTGGGCCAGGTGACAGTGGCTGGGTTTGGCTGGGAGTCCTGATCACCAGATCACCAGGGCAGTCTGCAGTGATGAGGTGGATCCGAGGAGGAGCTGGGAAGCCCAGAGACAGGATCAGCTCCACGACTTTCTGCCAACACAGCTGCAGCATATCTCGAGCGAAGAGTAGGGCTGACAGCCTGGACTTAAATACAGCTCTTGTGCCAGGGGATAGTCACACATAGCAGATGTTTAGTACCTTGTGCCGGCTTTGGCAGATTTGGGGGGTGTTGATGGCTCCTTCTGGAAGGGCTGGCGCATGGGATGTGCCTTCCCAGCCTTTCTAGCAAAATTCTGCTTTTACTGCCAAAATTAATCCCATGTAAGTGTGAGAGACAGGGCACACTGCTTGGGGGTCATGGAGGGAGCCAATGTGGCTTTGCTTTGCTTCAGCACAAAAGAGGGGATATTTGTGTGGGGAGGGTAACAGGGAAGCAAAAATCCAACCAAAGGAGTTCCAGGGCATCCCACACAAACCCCAAGACTTGCTGTGCCCCGCCCCTCCCTCCACTAGTTGCCTTTGTTTTCATTGCAGAAGCTTGGAGATTTAAAAAAAAAAAAAAGAAAGAAAGAAAAAAAAAAAGGAGTGGGATGTGAAGAGAAAAACTAATATGATTAAGGCAGGATTTGGGCACTGGCAGAGAGCTGCTGTGGGTGGTGGGTATTAGCAGTAACAGCTGCTGCGCTTCCCATTAGAGGAGGGAGAGAAGAAGGTCCCTGAAAGGATGGGTCTCCAGCGGGCTGGGAGGGCAGTAGCGGCAGCAAGCCCGGCAGCACTCGCGTCCCAAGGTAAGCGATGGCAGCACCGGGCAGCCCTGGGGAGCAGAGCATTTCTCCCCTGCCGTGATGGGCACAGGAGGGCAGCTGGGGGTGGGATGGGGAAAGGTGACACAGCCTGGGAAACACCCGAGGGAAAGAGCTGCTGCTCAGGGGTACTTCCATAAGCTCGTGTGAGAAATCATATCCAGCAAGAGAGGTTTATGTGTGCCCAGAGAAGCAGCTGGCTACGGGAGGAGCAGACATCCTGCCGCTGGTCCAACAGGGGCTGGAATAGTTAGCAAAGGCTCCTGTGACTCCTACAAGCATCTTCTGGTACGTAACTGGTTGGAGTGGCAGGATGCTTGGCTGTGGAAGGTTAAACTGCATCCATCTGCTTGCTGCTTCAGTCCAGGCACGAACAATTTCATGTGCAGTGGTGGTTTGTTAGTCAGCTGGCAAGTTTCAGAAATGCTAGAGAGGGAGGTGTACGCTAGACCTCCTCAGCCTCTGGTTTCCTCTGATTAATTTACATCTACCTATTGACTAAGTGTAATGAAATCTAAGGCTGGGATGTGAAGAGAAAAACTAATATGATTAAGGCAGGATTTGGGCACTGGCAGAGAGCTGCTGTGGGTGGTGGGTATTAGCAGTAACAGCTGCTGCGCTTCCCATTAGAGGAGGGAGAGAAGAAGGTCCCTGAAAGGATGGGTCTCCAGCGGGCTGGGAGGGCAGTAGCGGCAGCAAGCCCGGCAGCACTCGCGTCCCAAGGTAAGCGATGGCAGCACCGGGCAGCCCTGGGGAGCAGAGCATTGCTCCCCTGCCGTGATGGGCACAGGAGGGCAGCTGGGGGTGGGATGGGGAAAGGTGACACAGCCTGGGAAACACCCGAGGGAAAGAGCTGCTGCTCAGGGGTACTTCCATAAGCTCGTGTGAGAAATCATATCCAGCAAGAGAGGTTTATGTGTGCCCAGAGAAGCAGCTGGCTACGGGAGGAGCAGACATCCTGCCGCTGGTCCAACAGGGGCTGGAATAGTTAGCAAAGGCTCCTGTGACTCCTACAAGCATCTTCTGGTACGTAACTGGTTGGAGTGGCAGGATGCTTGGCTGTGGAAGGTTAAACTGCATCCATCTGCTTGCTGCTTCAGTCCAGGCACGAACAATTTCATGTGCAGTGGTGGTTTGTTAGTCAGCTGGCAAGTTTCAGAAATGCTAGAGAGGGAGGTGTACGCTAGACCTCCTCAGCCTCTGGTTTCCTCTGATTAATTTACATCTACCTATTGACTAAGTGTAATGAAATCTAAGGCACCAAAAAAAAAAAAGATGTTAGAAAGCACTACATTAAAATCTGAACCATCTGCCTTACAATATCTATTACAACAAATACCCTAGGCTCATCCTTCAGCCTCACTTTCTAAAGTGCATTTTAAAAAATCAGAGTAACACAATACTCCAGTTAATCTGGAAATGTGTTTTGTGCCAGCCACCAAAGCCGTGAGGTACTAAAGCCGCAGAAAACCAAATATTAAACTGTGAATTGTGTCAAGAAAAAAAATGCTAGTTTGGATTAAAAACTTGAGAATAAGGAGAAATCTTGGTAATAGCCAAAACTGCCACCAAGTTATCTCAGGGTTCCAACTCTGACTTCAAAGACTGTCTTCACTACTATCTTGTCAGCTACAGCAAGCCCTGACTGAGAAGGACAAGCCTAAATGCTGCTGGCTGTCCACACAGGGGTCCAATGGTCACAGGCAGCCTAGCGTGAGGGGTAGCCACGTGCTGTCAGTACAGGGACATGGCTTTGAGATGGCAGGCAGGGAGAGGCTCTGCTCTGGGCACCAGCCCCACATGCAACGGGGGTCTGCAGCAGCTCTGCAGGTCTAAGGGCAGATGTTTTCCCCATTGATCAGATTGTATGTTTGGGCTGGGAATGGTGGAGTGTGCTGAACATGGCTGTACAGAGCCTTCTCCTCCTCCTCCTAAAGCCCACAAGACTTTTTAGAGCAACTCTTCCCTGACTGCTCCCTCCACGGGCAACTTCACAAGAAATACTGTGGGGCCTCTTTCCTTCCAGTCCCAACAATTACTTTGGAATGTGAATGCTGTGGATTCAGAAGTGGCTCCAGGTGCCTCAAAGATCATTTATTTGCCTTTGTTTAAACCCTGTGGGAAGGGTGGTTCTCCAGATCAGCTAAATCAATGGCACCAGATGGGCTCACAGGTTGCTGAAGCCACTGCTTTGAAGTGAACCTCCACACTGTTTCTTGCTGTAGGATGGAGGATGGCAGGAGAGCCCCCACTGGCATCATTGGCTGGGCATGCACCACCCTGTGCTTGGTCTCCTGCGCGGCCGCCTACTCGCATGGTGCGAGCCTTTCTGCCTGCGCCGACATGATGCCCAGGCACCTCCGAGTGCAGCTGCACAGCCCCAACAGCAACTACGTCACTGTCCACACCAACATGTCCTTCTACTTCCCAGGGGACAAAGTTCCAGGTAAGGAACAGCTTCCTGCATCTGAGAAATACATGATAACTAATACCAAGTGATGGCATGAATCTTTGTGAGGTCGGGGAAGAGGTGGTCTGAGTGAGCTACGCCACCCCTCTCATCATGAGGAAATGAATGTATTAACAGAGGAATTCTGTTTGCAACACTTGGCCTAAGGTTTCTCAGGTGATGGTTGACTCCAGGTTTTCATCATGTTGCAGACCAACTGTTTGCTGGAGGCAGCTGGTAGGTTTGGGTGCTTTGGGGGGGATTTATCTCAACTGTATCTTAACCATACCAGACCTCATTACATGCAATGGCACATGAAAAGCACTTCCAGAGAGTAAAGTCACCTTCCCTGCTCCTCTGCACCACACAATGGGGTCTGGGTGACTCACCTGTCTTTTAGGCACAGTTGGCAGCATGTCCTGTTCCCATCATCACTGGTCCTGAGGTGTTTTCAGTATCATTGCCCAAGGTTTTCTTTTGGTTTCAGTGCTATCACTGGAAAATCCATTGCAGACAATTCCGTCCATAACTACAAGACAAATCCCTTCTGTCCCATGTTTTGTCTTTCAGTGACAGTGAGGAGCACCCGGGATTATATGGGCTTTATGCTCCAAGCTCGCAAAGTGTCCAACAACGAAATCGCTGGCACATTCATCTTCATGCCTCCTGGTTCCAAGCTGCTGACTTGTTTTGAAGATGGGGACACTGTCACCCACTCGGACAAGTCACTGAAGAGAAACCTGTCCTTCATATGGAAAGCACCAGACCAATCCATTGGAGACATCAAGTTTTTGTAAGCATGTGCTGGTTCCTAACCAGAATTTGTGTCCTCTCAGTTTAAAGGCTTGGCTTTATTTTTCCATCATGCTTGTCCAGCAAAGTGATTTATTGTATCTTGAACCCAGTACAGCTAAATACTTACCAAACGCTGCAACAGTATCCCAGCTGGTACATAAATCACCATTAATACCTGCTGGGTAATGCTGCTTTTTTATTTACATGGTCACTATTTTCTCAGAACAAATACACTGGAAGATGACAGCTTGGGCATTTAGGAAATATTAAGGCATAAAGACAGAACTGTGATGATATTGTCTGTCTTTGTAAATAACACAGCCCATAGGACTTCCCTGCCTACAGGATAATCTTGTATATGATCTCTTAAAAAAATAATGAAAAATTAGTACTTTTTAAAAAGCAAAATGTAAATAGAACTATTCACATTAAAAAGAGAGTGTGCACTCTGTCAAACTTGTCATCTCTGCACTAAAGTTCCAAACCCTTCAAGTAGTTTGGTTCTGATCTGGAGTGAAATAGAAAGTCTTCTGACTGTCTTAGAGGAAGCACAGCAGGTTTTCATTTTGAAAGAGATTAAATTGTTATTTTTTGAGTTTACAAAACCACTTAGAAGCTGCTTGGCCAGATCCTTGGCTGCTTCCCAAAACATAAGCATCCCAGTGAGTGCTGTGGCTTGTGCACCTCATCACGATTCAATAAAAATTAACCGAAACAGAAATATTGCTGCTTGGAATTTCCACTTTTTGGCCATTGTTTTAAATCTGAAAATACTATTAAAGACATATAGAGCTCAACCAACCAAATAAACTCAAACAAAACCCAACAACACCTAGTCCTAGACACCCACTTTGATACTTCCTTCGCCCTTTGGCTTTTGACCCTCCAAGATGACTTCTGATAGCTTCTCCCTTTTTTCCCTATCACAGCACCTGGAAAAATTCCTTGTTAGGCTTAAAAATAGCTTGTAAGAATCATCTGGCACAGGAAAGCCCAAACTGGTTTCCCCTTAGCTAACTCTCAGAAGCAGCTGAGCAATCTGAGCTGAAATTCTCCCAAAATCTCCAGTTTAAATAAGCCTCTCTGGGTGAACAGTTAAAGGTTGGCCAATGCAGTTTTGGCACCTGACAAAAAGCAGAGGATTAGGCAAGCTCAAATATCAGAGGGCTGAGAAGAGAGACTTTTTTTGCCCTTACCTATTCTGATGTTTGTACAAGTTACATTGACTTGTTTTAATTAGTAAATACCACTGTTGTTTCCCTGCCTACGGAAGATTATAAGCAGAGCTAGTCCAAGTTTTACAAATGTACCTCTATCAACATGGTGAATGTAATAGAGCTTTTCTTATTTCTTTTTATTTAAGTTCCCACACATTTTTGGCTGATCTTAATTATGGGTGGTGATTCTTCACCCCGAATCTTTCTTATGGGACCTGGTATCTTTTATTTGTAATAGAAAATGTATGACAGGCTAATCCTTTAAAATACTTTTGCATCCGTTCTCTCTTCAGATTAAAGCAGTCTTTGTGATTAGCTAAACAGCCAGATGTTTTATTAATGCTACAGAGCCAATAAATTCTTGCCTAATTATGTTTTAACAGCATCTCCATAGTCCAGTCATACTTTGTTTACTGGGCAAAGATTGAATCTGCTATCGTGGTTCAGGGGGGGCAAAACAAGACGCATGCTGGCAGTGGCAAGAAGCCCGACACCTCAGCCCCTGTGCCCTTGCAGGGACCAGCTGACACACACCCCCAGGTATGGCAAGCAAAGGTATGGGTTTGCTTCCTGCAGAGTAGTTTTACAGCTTATTCTGTGCAATTGTTGAACACAAGCGACCCAAACAAGCTGGGGGGACCTGTTTAACTCCTGTGGCCACCAAGGAGATCAGTGATGGCCGTGGTGAGCTCCTTGAAGTGAGGGCATGGGTCAGCATTTGAAGTGATGGAACCAGTTCCAAGGAGGGTACCGGAAAGTTAAACAGGGTTGCCAGATGTTATGATTCAATGCAAACCCTAACGTACAACATACTTTACCTAAAATCCCAGCTTTTGAAGATAAGGAAGTACAATTATCAATGTTGTCTAAGCAGAGGAACATATTTGTCTCTAAATGTGACTATTGCTCCTCAGGTATATATTTAGTTGTACTTATGCAGCCTTTGGTCAGTAAGAAACCCCATGAATTTACTTATATCCAAAGCAGATGTACTTCTCAGCATTTTTGTCATGGCAGTAAGACTGAGTTTTAATTATTTCACTGGACCATAACATAAGCAGAGAGCTTTGCTGCTTTAATTTTCATCTGGGTTCCCTCTTAAGTGACATTAAAATAAAAGACTCACTATTACGAACCTTCCTGGCAAGTGTTGGCACTGAGTGGGATTTGAAATAAACAAATCGAAGACAAGAAACTTCCACTCCTCTCTCCTTGCTCTTTGTTTTGTCTCCCTGCTGGACAAGGTCCCACCTCTCCCGCAGGCTCCCCCCTGCACACTCCAGCACCGCCTTCCAGCCCCACTGGCATCCTGGCAACACCAGCGTCAGAGCCAGGGTTTGGTGTCAGGTCAGATGCCCGTCCCATTGTTGAGCCAAAGCAGCCGGCACGGACTTCACGGGCTGTGTCCAGTGGGAGCATCAGGTCCAGAGGCCGGGCACTGAAGCCATCCCTTCTCACCCAAGAAGCTGGCACGGTGGATGCCTCACAAGGTTTCCTCTCCCAGAACAATGCCTCCAGCTTCAGCACCTCTAATGGGTAAACTCGGTGGTGGGAAGAGCTATTTCTCCCGTCCTTATAGGGAAGGAAAATAGTACTAGTTTCCCTGCAGATGAACAAGGGTCTGTGTAGGAAGGTGTCTGTGTCTGAGGGGGAGGCAAGATGGTGTTTACTTGCAGGGAGTTTGAGACATAATCCTCTGGAGATTGCACATGACAGACAGTGACAGGGAGAAAATCCAAAACTCCTAAGAACCCAACGCTGCACTGCTCAGCCCAGTGGAGGACTGGCCAAGTGGCAGAAAAATGTGATAAGAACTACTGGCTGCCAGAATATATCTCTAAAAGTGCATGCAGTGCACTTTTCAATGAAACAGTGAACTCAGCAGATCTATTTCTCCAACTGCAGGGAAAAGGGAAAAAGGATGCAAAGCAATTCTGAAATTTGGGCTTGAGGTTGTCTGCTCAGAAGTCTTTGGGGGTTTGGGCTACATGAACTTTCATGCAACATTTCATCCTGTGGGTGGAAACGATGAGGATAGGAATAAATGATGATCATTTATTAAAAATACAGCCCGTATGGTCTGTGTTAACTGCACATGTCCCAAAAATGCTCTAAGGAGCGGCACACTTCTTGGTGGTGTGAGAAACAAGGATTCCCATGCAAGCCATGGTGATAGGTCTCACTTACTAACGCTGCCTTTCCTCTGTCCATATCTTAGAGCAGGAAGCAATGCCAGCGCTGTCACCCCACGCTTGTGTTTGACGTGTACAGATCACAGGCAGGTAAGCAGTGGGGTCAGGGAGGACGCCTCCTCCAAGGACAAAAAGATCTGAGAGAAGATTGAGGATAAAACCTCTCTACTGTGTCACAGCACCAAGCAGCCTGCAGAGCTAAGTGGCTAAAACTATGCTGAGCCAGTTAAATGTTTTAATTTTTTTTACTTTAACTGGAAAGTAGTTTTTATATCCCTTTTTAGGTTTTTTTTTTTGAGCCCACTGCCTGGGTTTTAAGAGTCCCACTGTAAAAACAATCTAAACCAGCTTTCCCATATGTAGACATGACTACTGGGTGTTACTGGGCTGGAAACCTGTGTTTTATTCCTGTGGAAGGCTGAGATGTTCCTTTCCAGGAGGGCTGGATAGATACCACCCAAGAAATCCGCAAGAGGTCAAAGACCTAATTTTTCCCAGGGATGGCCAAAGAAGCTCTGCGCTTTCTGAGGCTGGCTGGGTCAGAAAGGCAGACGTGGTGGTGGTGGTGGGGTTAGCCACAGGCATGGGGTGCACTCGCCAGAGACAGCTGGAAGAGCAGGAGCTGGCAGGCAGGATGAGTGGGTGAAAGCACCTTTCAGGAAGGGGTGATGTCATGACAGGAAGCCCAGAAAGCAGTGAAAGGACTGAAGCCTCAGGGGAGTGGGGCAGCTGTACATGTGGAAGGAGATGTGGGAACTAGGAGAGCATCTGAGGAATTAAGTGGAGAACAGAGGAGGGAGAGAAAGTAGAGAATACCAGGCCTGTGGAGAGAAAGATGCTCAGATGGGAACTAGTGGAAAGCAGGGATAGCTTAGAGACACAGTTACAGTGTTAACAGTAGGCAGTCAGCAGAGGATGGAGAGAAGAAGAATGCATAGAAAGTAAAGAATTAGATCTGGGTTGCAGGATGCCACAGGAGGAAGAGAAATGACCTCACAGAAAATAAAAGAGGAAGGAGACATACTGCAGAGAATGAGGCGGAAATATTTAGGAAGGAGCAGAGGACAGAGTACAAGTAAAGGAAAGATGTGTACCATGAGCACATGGCATAGCCACGGAGAGAAGTGGAGAAATGGCAGAAGATGGAAACAAAGTTATTGCACGAGGCAAGACAAGAAAATAATGAAATAAAAATATCGGAAAATTAGGCAAGAATGAAGAGAAGGAGTATGAAAAGAAAGGAGAAATGAGGTGAAATAGGGCAAGGACTTGCGAGGAAATTCCATTTTCTATCCCCAAGTCTCAAATCCTGCAGTATATCCTCACAGTATGCTGTTTGCATTTTGAGGGCAAGTGATCCACACACATGCAATCCTAACTTCACCAGCCAGCTACTTTACAGTTTGCGGTTCAGCCACTGAAAGTCTCCTATTTACTGCTGCATTTTACTAGCACCTTCAGGAACTGTCTCTTCCACAAAGGATGCTCTGACCCTCCACTACTTTGCTTCACAGCTTGCCAGGGCTCCTACCTCAGCTTTGTGCTCCTGTCACACTGTCTTCCCAGGAAGCCTTAGAAATCGCTAATGATGGTAGAGGGTGAGAGTTTCTCTGGTGTAATTAATGGATGTGTGAAAAAGCCTGCTGGGCTGGACAGGCTGGAGAGGTGCCAGTTACTGAGGGCCAGATCCAAGTCTCACTGGAGCCAAAGGAAAAAAACTCCAGTATATTTTGCAGGTTTTGGATGGGGGCTCAGATGCACAGTGGGAATGGAAAAATTCATTGGGGGCCTCCTAAATTGTATGATTGTTTCCCAGTCAGTCGTGGATAACACCTGCCGCAAAGCCTGGGCTGCAGAACTGGCATGGAGTGTCTGTCATTTTGTGACAGCTAAAATAAGGTGCATGGAACCAGGCAGTCCCTAGAAACAGGAGCGGGCAAGAACAGTCACTCCCAGTGAAATGGGTGATTAAGCAACATAGAGAGGCAGAAGATTTCAAACTGGCTGTGCTTAGACTTTCTATGCTTAGACTTTTCTATGCTTAGAAAACTTTCTATGCTTAGAAAGCAAGGCAGGCTTTGGGAAGAGTTCACAGGTTATATCTGACTGCCCCAAAACCACTGATGTCAAAGGCCATCCCAAGTCTTCTGTGTCCCTCTGCTCCACGGTTCAATCCACAGCCCCAGAAGGGTGATACTGAATCCCAGTAGGCCCATGTGACCCTAAACATGAAGCTAGGCTGGGAAGATCACACCTGCTCTTTCAGCATGACCCTGGCGTCACTCAAAGTGTGAACTGTTTATTAAGTGATTTTTTTTCTGTGATAACTATGTCTGTGAAAAATACCACCACAACAGGAACCATGGACCTTTACTTAGGCAAAGCAGTGACCTTCCTCTCACCTTTGCCCTTCACCCTTGCCCCTTCAACCCACTCTGCCTTTGCCCCTGGGACCAGCTCCAGTGCATTGTCCCTCCCATGGGAATTGATATGGATGGAGCAGGGTTGCATCTGGCTCATTTTCTAAAAGCTACTGAGTAACCAGGGAATGGAGAAGGGCTATTTTAAGGTCAGAGGGACACACAGGTGTCAGAGTTGAACTGTACTATGAGGGAGTGAGAACATAATCATTCCCCTTTCTCTTCCCTCCTCAAACACATTTTGGTGTGTTCTTGCTTTCAAAGGCCAGTACCGAGAGTGGGGCCATCTCAAAAGCCTCCCTGCATGTGACAGCGTCTCCCTCTGCCCTGCATGTACATACTCAGGGTGACACTGCTGCAACCACAGCCTGGTTTGGGGATGACAGTGCTGCTGGCAATTTGTCCTTGGCTTCAAGGCAAATGGCAGAAAGAGAGCTGGCACCGCAGCCAGAGGAGACTGGCACCTGGGGTGAGGAAGAGAAGGAGGCAGGTAGTAATACCCTGCCATGGGTGACCAGACCAGCTCCCAGATCTGCTGTTCCCGGCAAAGGGGAAGACCTCGGCAGAGGAAGTCGACTCCTTGCAGCCCAACTCGGCATCCTGCTGGTCTGCACGGCCGCGCTGGGCCTGGCGCTGGCAGCTGCCATGCGCTGTGTCTGTGCCCAGCACTGCCACAAGCGGACGGAGGTGTCCTTCGGTGAGCCGGACCCCGGCATCGCTGCCAGGGAAAACGGGCAGGCGGTGCACTTCCGAAGGATCCGGGAGAACAGCTTCGTGCTGGTGCAAGCTGAGTACAACTGGGTCAGCCCCTCAAGCAGCGGGAAGAAGACGATCATCTGAACATCTGCAATGGTGAAAGCAGCTCTACAGCGGCCAGGGTGGGTGAAAATAGCCCGGGCTGCACAGCACAGGTTATAGGAAATGGTGGTTTAGTTCCTCTCTGCTGCCATGTAGGTAAACAAACTCAAAGCAGCCCGTTCAGACACAGGCGTTAGTCGAAAGTATCTAAGCTACAGCTGCTGAGAAAATAGAAGTTGATAGATTGCTCACTGTGTTACACTTACTGCAATTAATATTGTATATCTGCTCATTAGCTGTCACTGCAACCATGACATACACTTCCTCTGTTGCCTTAAGGGTGTAGCCAAAAATAGAAATTCTTTCCTCTGCACTGTGGTATTGACTCCTGTTTAATCTCAGCAAAAGTTTCTAGTGTTATATTTCTTTCTAGGAACTACAAACTTGTGATATAAACCCAATCATTCTCATTTAGGAGCTTACAGGTTTGATTCTGGCATCTCTTGGACGACAAAATATTTCCTGGTAGATTTTAAGTTTCAATTCGAAAATAAAAAAAGCAGTAATTCATTAGTGGAGAACATTGATTTGAAGAATGCTGAATTGATCCATGGGAGCGAAACACAGGGTGGCAGACACCAGCTTTTGGGGGAAAAACATGCCTCCTCATCAGGTGCAAATGGAAGAAAATCTTTCCTGTCCATTTGCACCTGATGAGGAAGCTTGTTGCAGCCTGACAGGCAGCATTTACTGAGTTTTTTACTTTGAGCCAGCTCGGTAACACCCTGTGCAGAAACACGGACTGAGAAGTACCCTTCCCAGGTCACTTTGGAGATCCCCAGTGAAGGCTGCATGGAAAGTTAACAGCATCTTTGTGCTCTGAGTTTGTATAAACTTTTCTCCAACGGTGTGGTTTTCTGCAGGATGCCACTAAAACACCCTTGGAAAACATTACAGTCCTGGACACCTCCTAAGAAAGAAGTGACAACAGCAAGGGTAAAGGTCTATTTTATTGCAACTTTAAAATAGTCAGAAACAGTCTTGATAATGATCCTCTTGAGACACACGTTTTAGAGCCTTTCAGAGACCAGGAATTGTCCCTTCTGGTCTCCTTTTCTAGGGTGGATCATCTCAGATGGTCCCCAAGCTGTGCAATGGGGGACACATTTTGGTGCTGCAGCTAAATGCACAGACCAAAGCAATTCCCCCTGAGCTAAGCAGATAATGATGGGACCCTGATGGCTCACACAGCCTTCCTAGTGACAATTTACCCCTCTGTCAGGGCAATTCTCCAACTAGTTGGCCATCTGCAAGCTGGATAGTCAGTCAAAGTCCTGCTCTCATGTCCTCCCTTAAAAGGTCATTGTCTTCAGAGGGGACAGGTGGGACATAGATGAGTTCTCTACTCCTATTAGTGTTCAGAAAGAATTGGTTTCTGACCAGATTATTGTACTGTGATCAGGGACATAATGTTTTGTGCTGTACACGTGGCGAAATTTCTGTCAAGTTAACTTCTAGGCCTAGTGAACCGCGGACAAAATAGATGAGTAAGAAAAGAAGTGTACTCACAAATGCAGCTTGTAGAGATGAGCTTGCTGGTCTTAACCACTGTGCTTTGAAGAGAAAGGCAACTGCACCATGGCACTTCTGCTGCAGAAAAACCAAGGGTAGCACTGTAATTCAAAAGACATTTGTTTTAGGACTCAAAAGGATGTTAGGTGAATGGTTTCATATTCAATAAGTTGAGCTTATGCGCTACCTACTAGTAAGTCTAGAGGTTTTTAAGTACAAGTCCAGACACAATGACATTCATCTCCTGTGTCATGTGTCTCAGAAAGAAATCAAGTTTCTGTAACCCAGGATAGCTGAACTGTGTAACAACTAAAGCAGACTGCATTCAAGTCATTGTTAATGCAGCCAAAAAAATTCTAATTAACTGAGAAAATAGGTCAACAAACTCTTAAATACTTTAAGAATATCACACATTATTTTAAAAAGTTTCTTATGATGGCATAGCTGTTTATGAATAAATTACAAATACCTATGGCCTCCTCCACTGTCTCTCTAGGTTTAATGTTACCAGACTGCTATAGTTATAAAACCATAACCTTCCCCTCCCCAGCTCTTTCCTCACAACCCAGCACTGCTTCTTGCCAGGCTGACTGGAGCAAGTAAAGGCCTCATGGAGGTTTTTGATTAGGATAGTGGCACCTCAACACCATGCTACCTTCTGCCAAACTCTGCCTTCTGTTAAATTTATGCTGCTCCAGTATTATTACTAGTAAAGCCAGTAATGGTGAGCTCTGAGGGACCCAGCTCCTTTGAATTAGTAATGAGTTTTACTACTTTGCGGACTTGACTGAGACCTAAAGTACTTGTGTCTTTTCCTTGACTTATGAATGATGTTTCATTTATTGTAGTTTCCATGACAAGAGGAACGGAGGTTTTATCTCTTCTTAAGGCTGTTAAAAACATGAGCACTGATTAATTTATTAAAAGGCAAACCATTCACACCCCCCCATTCTTAAGTGACTTGTCTTACATGGAAATTAATCTGTGCTCACACTTGGAACAGATTTTGGAGGGAAAAAATATTACAAAATTAGGAAAAGAAAGGCACAAACCATTCTAATATTTACTGAAGAGACAAGTGAAAGACTTGCCCTGTCTCCTCTCTAGGTGCACAACTGTGTTGGTTACATATGTTCTGCTGGAACTGGGAATCTCAGTTCCTCCAGTGAAGGTCAGCCTGCAGATGTCTGTGGCCCATGTCAGGTTGCCATCCCTCAGCAAAGTGACATGGTTTTGGGTAAGAATTACTGACCAAAGCTGTGGAAAGCAGATAATGAACACCTAATCCTGAGCCTATCTCCTGACCAGTCAAACAGGCATCAAACAGAGTTTTGGCAGTGAAAATGTCTATGGCTTAAATCCATTACCATTACCATCTATGCCATTACAATGCTTGAGCTATCCTAACTAAAAATAATAATTAAAAAAAAATTAACTTGCATATAATCATGGCCATTCACCACACCCTTACTTGAACACTCATTTTCCCATCTCGTGTCGCCATGATTCCTGCTTTCCCTCTGCTGCACAAAAAATGTAAACCACTGCCCCATAGCCACCAGTCCTGCATGCTGAGCACAGAACACCATCACTAATTCTTCCTGCTTTTCCACGGTATCTGAAAACAGTTAGGTTTTGCCCATCCTCAAGCCTGTCCATAAATCTGTTCCCCGTCTGTGTCAGACAAGATGTTGCCTCACTCAGTGCTGCACCTGCTCTATTAGAGATGTCCACCCTGACAGCAGTTAGTAGAGGACAGCAGCCCTCCAACAAATTAGTGGCACTCAGTGTAATGTGGAGAGATTGCATTAAACAGCACAGTTAAGTCATTGTGGACATTTTCTGCATTGGTTGAATTGTCACTAATATGCCAAAAAAGCCAAAAATGCATTGATTTTGTCAGGTCACAGGAGAAGCCACGGGGCCCTGTGGGCCCAGCTGTCACAGTCAGCAGGGATGTGTGAGCTCAGGCCCTCAGCAGAGGCAGTGCTCGCCCAGAGCCACACGGGACTAGCCCCAGGCATTGTGGAGGTCTGGCTGGGTGGCTTGGCCAGCCCTTTTGGCACAGTTTCTGCAACTACTTAAAACCACACAAACCAAGGGAGGCAAAGCAGCAGGATCAGGAACCCAGAGAATAAAAAAAAATTCAGCACATGCCCCAGTGATCTGAGCACAGGGACATGATGCCTGGGCTGCCTTTCTGAGGGTGAGGGTTTGTCCTCTCCCTCACCCCTGAGAGTTTGCCCCTGCTTCAGCCAGTTCCTTGGCAGAGTTAAGGATGCATGTGTTATTTATTCACTTAGATTTAAATAACAATGAGAAATGCCTGTAAGAAAGGAGATGCTCTAACAATTCCTGCAACATTCAGCTGCAAAAAGAGCTGCTTAGCATCAAAAACTAATGACAAAGTGGTGACCTGACCTGCAAAGCTTGTTAGCGGCAGAACAAACCCCTCGCTCCTCCTGGCAACCTGGACCCCTCCACTGGCCCTGCCAGGGTCTCAAGGCTCATTGTGCCTGGATAGCTCCACAGGGCTCCCTTCCTTCCTTTCCCTTCCCCTCTTTCCTGCCAGCTCCACCAAGGCACCACATCAACTATAGGAGGGCAGGAAAGGACTTGGCAAGTCACAACTTACCTTGGACCAGGAGCTGCTCAGGGATCTCTCCTGGTTCCCTCCCGCCACGGAATCGCTTCCCCTTTGCAGGTCTCGTCTCAGCAGCCCTCTTTCCTCATTAGTGTATATGTGACTCTCTCAGTAAAGCATTTTGTTATATGATGTATGAAGGACTGTGTGTCAAACCACATTTTACTGTATATTTAAGTGCATGTTTTGCTGATTTACTGCTGTTCCAGAGAACGTCTCCTTTCCCAAGCAGGGCAGGCCTGTAACAGATATATCAGCTCTGACTAATGACTATTAGTACATCCCAAGGTTACGTCCCACAATCAAATAACGTGTAGGAGGGAAGAGAGACTCCAGCTTACTCGGCTGAGGACAAAGATCACAGATAGTCTCTTTCAATCTTCAGATTGCAATATCCATTACAGATTGCCACCTTCTAATGTCAAAACATAATTTGTTGTCAAGAAAATGTGTCGCTGTTTCAGAGGCGAGTCAAAGATCAGCCTGGTTGTATATCAGCGCATGTTGATGTACACTAAGAACTGGTGGCCAGGTACCAAGGACATCAGCCTGCGGGAATGGAAGCAGATGTGCCTTGCTGATCTTAACTGTGCAAACACACGGCTCGAAGTGGAAAAAAAAATATTTAACCAAGTCAAGAGAGGTGTCACCAGTAATTCCCAGCATCTGAGGCAGCACCAACACGACGTGTCAGGCGAGTGACCAGAGGCAGCCGCTGCTCGGCTGCGGGAAGGGCAGGGCTGCCCGCGCGGTACCGGGTAGGAATGGCCCTGGTAAGTGCGTTCCCGGGCAGATCCAGGCGGGCGGCACACCAAAGCCCAAGGCATCCCTCGGCATTACCGAAGGGCAGCGCAGAGCGACCCGCGCCGGCCGCGAGGGGGCAGCGTTATCCCGGCGATGGAGACCGGGCTGGGCCGGGCAGGGAGGGGAGCTCTGGGTGAGCAGGGGTCGGAGCCCTCCCCATTGCCCCGGCTCCCATATCCTCTCACGGCAGCGGCAACGCAGGTGCGACTCCACCCCCGTCTGCAAGCAGGTAGAAGTTTCTGCATCAAAGAGCCGGGGATGTTAACTGCGTTTTTATAACCCCGTGCACTTCGTCAATGAAATTTCAAGTTATGTGGTTTATAGTCCACCTAATTATAAAGCTATTATTGCAGAGCATGCACTGTTTCCCCAGTGTTATTTTAAATTCCCAACGGTGGATTTCTTTTTTTTTTTTTTTTTTTTTTACGTCTATAAATCCACCACACAAATGCTGCTGAGAAAACAATAGGCAGGGGTTAAGTTGTCTTACATCCCTTTCTCCTTGCCAGCTTCCTACTGACAAAGACATTTATGCCAGGAAAAAGGCACAGCTCTCTAGTTTCAGAAGTGCCACGTGGTCTGCTTGGGCCCCATCGTCAGAGCGATGTGCAGAGCCCGGCTGAGCTCAAGTGACTCGTGCAGGTCAAAGCTCTGGCCAGAGAAGGCTGAGGCAATGCTGTCCTGGTGGGTGATGCAACCAGAGGCTCTGAGAGGGCTGTATTTCTTACTGCAAACATCTGCCTGTCACTTGGCATTTGAACGTGCAGTTGGAGGCTGCTGGTAGGTGCCTGTGTCACAGTAATGACTGTGACAGGCTTTTTCCATCCCTGAGCAGGAGATGGTTCTGGCATTTGGTTTGAGAGCAGCTTTGAAGCCACTGAGTTGAGAAGAATTTCTTCCTAATATCTATTCTGAAACTACCACTTTGGAGCCATTCCCCCTTGTCCTATCACTACTTGCCCTTGTAAAAAGTCTCTCTCCATCTTCTGGTAGCCCCTCTGCTTGCGGGATGAGGGTGTGCACTGCCTGCCAACAGCTCACCAGAAAACACCCCTTGTAGCATCACTGCCTCTTTGGGAAGTTCACTATCACCCTGCTCTCTGCACCCATTTGCCACCAGCTTCTTCCCAAAAATACACACACCAGAGCACATGGCTCCTGCAGGCAGCATGTGTGTGTCTGGGTCTGGAGGAGCTGATCTGGTTACAGGCCTGGTGGGTGACCAGCGAAGCACAAGCCCAGTAAGCCAAGCGTTCCCAAGCAGCACCACCCTTCCCAAGCAAAGCACAGGGAAATGCAGAGGCAGCACAGCCCACACTGGCCATGCCAGCCACAGCAACCCCCTCTGGTAGGCTCCCTGTCCTCGCTGTCTGTGAGATCTATTGCTGTTCCTGGCCCACACTGGCAAGGGAAGTTATGGCACCTGGAATGCTTGGCCAAAGACGTGCAGCAATTGGAAGCTCTAGACAGAGAAGGATGCTTCTGCTCTCAGTCCCAAATGCCATTCTCTAGGAACTGGGCCTCTGAGACTCTGTTGCAGGAAGCCTAGGGCAAGGAATCTTCTTTCCCATCCTGTGGTGATCAGGTGCAGGGCTCAAACCAGCAAAGCAATCAGCAGTTTGCATCTGTGCACTTGGTTCCTTGATCCTCTTTTCTCTCCATATGCCATGTTTATTCACCCCCTTCATCTTCCTCCACTCTTCCCTTTCTCATCCCTTGTCTCCTCCCAAACAGGGGACCCACCCCTGCTATTTTTCCACCCTGGCTCCAAGGTTTGCCCCACCTGTGAACAGACTTGGTGTTGCAGGTGCTGTTAGACAGCTCACCTTGGCCTTCCAAGGCATTACTGATGCAGTTTACTGGGTCCCAATGGTCCTGCCAGGTTCTTCTCCACAAAATGACCCCAACTCTTCCTTTGAGCGCCTGTGAAGTGTGGCCACCTCACATATCAACCCCACTTCACTACCTGTGAAATCTGGCTCTTCCTTAGGGCACTGTAGCCCCTGCCAGCTTCTCCCTCTCTTTGTGACAGTCACCAATTTTGCTTGTCATGCTCAGGAGTTTCCCAGGCCTGTTCCACTAGCTAAGGCTTAGAGCCTGATTGTGTGCCTTAATGTATCCCCCATAAGGTGTCTGCACGTGGCATTATTTTTTCCTGTCCTCTTCCTAGAGGAAGATATGCCAATCTTCTCCATCCTGTGGTGGCTCTGAGCACCCTTCTCTCTGACCAGGTACAGTTCCAGCCCTCTGAAGTGACTCTTTCCCTTTGTGCCCAAGTAGTCTGCCTGGAGTCTCACTTCCAAGGTCCTGGGCTTGTCCAGGAGGCAGAACTCATCTGAAAATATCATTAACTGTGAAAAAAGGCAATTTTTTATTTCAGCAACTAAGTCAACATTAGCATTTGTGTACATGCAGAGGAGCAGTGTGAGCAGGACAGAGCAGGCCTTTGGCACCGAGGCATTGCCCCGGCAGGAAACGGTCGTGGTTCCATGCAGCCTGAACTGGATCCTGTTCATCCTGCTGCTCAAGCTGTTTTTCCCTGTAGGGCCTGCAGGAGCTTCTCCATCCGAGTGAAGAATTCCACCAGCTTCTTGACTGGAAATGGGCAGGACTTGTCTACCGGTGTTGGTGGTGGCTTTGGCTTCGGAGCAGTGGTTGGTGGTGGCTTTGGAATCTGAGTGGTGGTTGGTCTTGTCCACGGTGGCTGTGTGGCGGGTGGTCTTGTCCACGGTGGCTGTGTGGCAGGTGGTCTTGTCCACGGTGGCTGTGTGGCAGGTGGTCTTGTCCATGGTGGATGTGTGGCAGGTGGTCTTGTCCATGGCGGCTGTGTGGCGGGTGGTCTTGGCCATGGATTCTGAGTGGGTCGTGCAGCGGTCGGAAACTGACCCCAGGGTTGTGCGGCGGTTGGATAATAACCCCATGTCCGTGCTGTCGTAGGAGCACTTACATCTGGAAGCAGGCCTATCTGGGCCAGGATCCAGTTGTAAAAGTGCTGAGTGGAGGTATAGATTCCAGGCCGTTTTGCTCTTGCACAGCCTCTTCCCCAGCTGGTCACTCCAACAACCCAGAAGTTGTCAGCGTCATTGTCTTTGCACATGAGAGGACCACCGCTGTCACCCTGCAGCAGAGTAGAGAGGATTAATGGGGTGATGGGTGGCCCCAGTCAGCAGCAGGGCTGTCTCCTCTCTGAGCCCCTGTCAGAGCTGTATTCCCAGCACAGAAGGCTCTGAACAGTTGCTGGAGTCTCCAGAAGCTTGGCTGTGAGTGGGTTGGGGGACAGTGAGGTTGGGCTCTCTCTCATCTCTGCACAGTGATCCTGGAGGTGCAGAGGATGGATGTTCCAGGGTCAGCATCTGGACCTCTGGGCTGCCAAGAACACTAGCTGGGCTTTCTGGCACAGTGCCAGACCTCTGGGACAAGGAGGACACTGGGCAAGGCTCCACAGATGGGGAAAGAGAGGGAAGCTACAGCAGCAGTGGGGAACCAGGGCTGGGAGGCTGGCTGACTGGCCAGGCAAAGCCCGCACCGGGCTGTGTTTGGGCAGTGGTGACAGGGCTGCCTGTGCTGCTGGGGGCTGAGTGGCTCGTCACATGCTCCTACCTGGCAGGTGTCGATGCCTCCCTCTGGATGACCAGCACACAAGTTGTGGGTGTGGACATCCCCTGCATACCAATCACTGCTGTTACAGAGCTGGACATCAATGAGGTGGACCTGGGCCTCCTGCAGGACATCGCTCGATTTTTGAGCTGTGAGCACAGAAAGCAATGAACATCCAGCAGCCTTCTGACAGTTCTCCTCCTCTGCCTGTAGGTGATCCCCCTCCCTAGGGCCTGGTTTTGCCTCTGGAGAGGCATTGGAGCACTGTGACCCTTCTATCTGCCCTTAGGGATTGGGCAGCCTGATTCTGGCTTTGGCCTCTGCTGTTAGGAGGCCCAACCCATCTCTCCAGTGTGTCGAGTTTGCCCTGCCTTTTTGGAGACCCACCTCTTGCAGTGGTGGCACCCCAACCAGCGACGTAGCAGATGTCCAGCTCTGACACATCCACCGTGCCATTGGGCACACAGCCCAGCTGGATGTAGAGGTTGCACTCGGCAGGCCGGTCAAGTTCCAGCAGCGCGATGTCGTTGCTCTGGTCAGCAGCGTTGTAGTCCTCATGAACCAGCAGCCGCGCCACCTCGCGCACTTCAGCCCCAGCGGCCAGCTCGGTCAGCTGGGTGGCCCCGATCACCACACGCAAAGTGCTGATGTTTCTGGAAGGCAGATGGAAGGCGGGTGAGAGGGAGCAGAGCCTTGATCTGCGGCAGCTCAGTGGCTGGCAGGCTTCTGCTTCTCAAGGCAGAGAGGAAAGCAGCACTGCGGAGTCTGTGACTGCTCCAACATGCCTTAGGCTGCTCTAGCATGCCTTAGGCTCTGGGAATGTCAGCTGGAGGCTGCTAGGAAGCAGTGGCATGAGCCCTGCCTTCCTTCCCCTGAGCAATCTCAACTGAGGTCTGCAGTGCCCAGGCACTGGGCACACTGCAAGGAAATGAGGTGGGAGCAGCACATGTGCTGCCAACAGGGCACCTGCTGGTGGTGTGGGGATATCCCTGGTCCCTACTCCTTACCTGATATCGACGAAGCAGTGGGCCGCTGTGAGGACCCACCGTGTGCTGATGAGGGACCCTCCGCACAGATGACCCGTGCCTGGTATCTCAGGATCCTGGATGCTGACGAGCCAGGGCCAGGCTCCTTCCTGGGCACTTGTGCCACCCACAACACGGGTCTTGCCTTGGTCCTCATCAGAAGTCGTGGGCCGGACCCCGCAGGTCCCCCTGTAAGCAGAAAGTCATTAGGCCCCAGTCCGTGGCTTGCTGCTGCTCGGGCTGAAGCTCAGCTGGCTGCCCTCCCCACAAGGCATTGCATGGACAGCAGGCCAGGGAAGCCTGTGGGCTGTGTGTCTGTCCACCCCAGCACCTGGCCACTGGCAAGGAACTGAGGCTTCCCCATGGGGTTTGGGAAGCTGTGGTGCGGCCACTTGTCAGGGGCCCCCTCCAGGGAAGCCCCAAGGTGTTGCCCAAGCTCCCTGCCAGAGCCTGGGGCCACGTACCCACAGGTGTTCCACGTGCCCAGTGCAGGCCCGCAGGCGGCCAGCAGGACGAGGAGGCAGAGCAGAAGCATCGCTGCCAGCAGCACGTGTCAGGAGCCAGAAGTGAGGGCTTCTCGCACCAGCGCAGCCACCAACACGGCCCCGGGGCTGATGTCACAGAGTGGCCTGTTCCGTGTTCTGGGCATGGGGGCCTCTGGCACGGGGGAGGGAGCAGGAGCAACAACAGAATCATAGAACCACAGAATGGCTTGGGTCGGAAGGGACCTTAGCAATCACCCAATTCCAACCCCCCTGCCATGGGCAGAAACACCCGGCACTAGACCAGGTTGCTCAAAGGCCTGTCCAATCTGGCCTTGAACACTGTCAGGGATGGGCCATCCACAACATCTCTGGGCAACCTGTTCTAGTAAAGAATTTCTTTCTAATATTTAATCCAAACCTGCTCTCTTTCACTTTAAAGCCATCCCCCCTTGTCCTATCACTACTCACCCTTGGAAAAAGTCCCCCTCCAGCTTTCTTGTAGGCACTGCTGCTTGCAGGATGAGGGTGCTCAGGCCCTGCGGCACAGGAGAGCACACATCATTGACAAGATGGACAATTTTGCCTTTAAAGTATGAAAATTTGACTGACTTGTCCTATCATGTAGTACCTGAGTATAAGTTAATTTGGTCATGCATGTGTGGCATTTGGGCCTAAGAATGTAAAATGGAAGATATCTGTGTCATTGCTCTCTAGGATTACTTCTCAGCTGAAGTCAGCACTCTCTCTGAAAGACTATCAGCTGCTAAGTACTGCTCACAAAGAACAAGGCAAAGAGAAAACACTGATGAAACCACGTTATTAACAAGCATTGAGATATATCCAATAAAATCTAACTTTGCTTCCCACACCTGTTGCGCATAATTAAACAGATGAAATTAGGCTGCACTGTGCTCTAGACAGCCACACCAAGGTGCTTCTGATACCCAAGCTGTTTGTTTAAAGGTAGCTCAGAAATTTCTACAGTTTATTGCAGTTTTCAGTCTGCAGGGGTGTCCCACAGACTGATAACATTGTCCCTGTGAATGAATCCACTTGCAATCCCTGCTCTTCACTACAATAAGAGTATGAAAATGTCAAAGAGCCCTTTCCCAGCTGCTTCAATGTGCCTTCCAACACAGCTCTTGGAAAACAACACCATCTCTTGATACCTTAGTTGCATCTTACTTTCCATGTAATTTACAGTTTGAATTTTGGAGACTATGCAAGTTAAGGCAAATCATCATAGGCTATTCAATGGACTGTCGGCATAAGACTCACTCTGCTGCTGGAAAGTACAGAGCTAGGCAAAATTTGCAAAAAATATGATGCAAAATCCTCTCTTTCCATCATCCAGGATATTCTTGGCCATTGTTAATGCCCAACCAGTGACCCAGAGGTCTCAGTCTTCCTACAGCCATCTTTCTGCCTTCCTGGACCCAAAAAATAACAAGATCCAGTGTCTGGAGATGTGGAGCAGAAATAAAGTTATGGCTTTTTCCACTGAAAAGCATGTCTGCTCTTCATTTCACTACTGCATCTCTCACTAGAGCAAGATGAAGCATTTTGGTATGTGGCCAGAACAATAGGACAGAATCAAAGTTGCATTTTCCACTCGCAGTGCCTCTGCTGTGTATAAATGTTGAAAATGTGTATAAATTTTGAAAATCTCCTGAAAATCTTTAACCAACCAACCAAAGAAAAGAAAAGATGTAATGAAAATGGCATCTAAAAATTAACCTGCTGACTGATAAGGAAATATACAACTAATATGTGCATATACCCATTATTCTAATCCCATAGGGTTTTTTACCCCTTTTTTTTCTGGTTTCAGACAGAGCAAGGAAGAAAAGCCACAAAGAAGGAAGAATGAGAGACTTGAGTAAGAGGTAAAATCCGTAGTTGCAAACCAAACTAATTTTTGGACACCTCAGTCTTTGAGTGTTCTTTTTTCAATCTTTTTAAAAGTGCAGTTTTCAGAAAGCACCTGTCCTCCCAGAGTGATGGTTACCTGATGTGTCACTGCCAGCTGAGCATCTGTCATCACTTCTTATTTTGGGAAATGTAGGCCCCGTGTGTTTACACTTCTTCAGATCTCTTTCTAGGAGTTGGCAAAAGGTTTGCATTTGCATTAGTCTTACCTGCCTGAATAGTATTTCCATTCTTCTGATCACCTTTTCTTCTCAGTGAGAGGCTGAATTTCTGGTGTTGTAAAATCCATCCATGTAAAAATAAAAGCTCAATATATTTTAAAAAGAAGAGACATTTAATTATTTATGAAGGTACAATATTCTGAGTAAAAAAGCCACTAAACACCACACATGGATTCCTCCCCTCCTCCTCTCTCCTACTTTTCTTATTTTGTTTGTTTGTTTGTTTGTTTTCTGGTACCTGTACAGATGGGTTTTTGATATTATGAGGTAGCTAAACTTCAAGGATGGAAGATACTGAAAGACAACAATTAATAACAACAATAACAACAATTAACGTTCCAACAGCTCTAGTGTTTCTAAACATATTTTTTCCTGTGAAAATTTGTGGTGTATCCAAGATACGAAATGGTGCTGCTTTGCATGACTTGGCAAATTTATAATGCATCATTTTAATAACAAACAGGAGAAATTAAAAATATGTGGTCAAAGCATTTGGAGAAATACCTCACAAGGAATGTTAATTCAGTAGTATCAGCTAGAACCACAACTTCTACTGGCATAAGGGTCATCTAGAAAGTCCTGTTATTGGTGAAGATGCTGGACAGCCTATCTGAATGGGATAAATGCCTCATGCTGATCTGAATTTTACTAGAGAAATACTGACTTTGGATAATCTACATTGTTGCTGTCTTCTAATTTCAGCCTGTAGCAGCATCCTCTGTGTGTGTGTATAAACATTGGTATCTAGGATAGATGCTAAGTACATATTAGTATTTGTTAATTCATATAATTTTGTAGTATTATGTCTTGCAATTAGCTGAGACATGTTCCCACTCTAAATCAATTCCCAAACAAAAAAATAATTGAGGGTACTTAAAAACTAGTTGGAAGTGGATGATCAGACTCTTCAATTAATTAGGAAAAAATCAAAGAGATGATGAAGCATGTGCTGCAGAGTCACAAGTGACTGTACCAACTAAGCTCAAATCAACAAACTGCTAATAAGTTATCACATAATTACCTACATTGTACTCTTGAAAGACAAGAGGAGCACAAAGTATCTACTACTTCCAAAACAGAAGGAACTGAAACTGTGGAAGATACTTGAATACTTCAGGACCTGGGCTGGGCCCTGGACTGTGACACACAGACAGACACACGGACACACGCTGGCAAAGGTGATGTGAAGGAGTTCAACTCTGCTGGTGGTTTCTGGCTTCTCAGAAGACTTGGGGCGCTCGTACTACTGGGCAGGGATAAATAACTGAACCATTCATTAACACTCACCGGTTACCTCCAGTCTCCACGTGTGGTCAAGTTTCCTAGAAGCTAAGAATCCACACTCACCGAGAATCCATGCTCACCAGCCCTTTCATTTTCCAAACTGCAAAAAAAAAAAAATAGTCAGGACCAAGACAACCATCAGTCCAAATTTTTTACTTCAAGTCAAAAGACTTATTTGACTTTTTATTTTTAAAGGACAACTATCATGGCTTTTAAGCAATAATCTGCAGAAGAGATGAATAGCACACTTAGTGATCAGCATGATTTATTTGGCAAAGCCTATTAGTTCTTTCTGGAGCAAATTAATAATAATTCTCATCTGTTTGTCAGTGGGGATTTAATGTAGGCTAAAAAGTCACTGAGAGATTTCTTCAGATGGAAGTCTGTTCAAAACAGAACAAAAAAGATGAATTTGAGAAAAAAGCTTAATAAAGTCTTCTTTAAATGAAAACCACTCAAGGCTTGACTGTTAATCAAAAGAACATTACTTACCTTACTCAGCATCGCTGAAACCAGAATCTGGCAGCAAGGTTTAAAAAGGAACACTTTTTCTTTACAGTCATAATTTATAACAGGTGAATTATTGGATATAAATACTGTTTTCCTTCTGCTAATGTATTATGCTTCTGGGATTGTTCAGAGCCAGTATTCTGTTACTAAGACAATAAACTTCTAAACTAGGGCTTCTGACAAAAAATTCCTAGCACATTCAAAGCAGCAGCTTTTCAAAGAATACCACTATGCCATCTAAACAAACTAAATTTTAGTTTCACTAGGATTGGAAAATACTGAAATTTCTCACTAAATTAATTTTTTTAAACATAGAAAGCTCCTGCTGGCAATACACTGAAACATATTTTTACATGTACCAAAGCTAAAATTTCAAATGGGATGACTTAGCAAAGAGAGTTTGCTATTGAAAGTAGAGTATTAGATAAGCAAAATAGATTCCTAAATATTTGTAAAATATTAAATCATAGAGCCTAGAAAGTAATGGTTTAACATACATCATGATATACATGGAAAAGTGTTTTTCTACATGGACTATGCACCTTACTTTTTTAAAAAAACCAACTACTACCTAAAAATCTTTCAAAAAAACCAATACCAGCAAGATTTGAGTTTTCTTGTTTTTTGAACAATGTCTCAACAGACACTTAAAATGGGATTATTTGGGAACATTGATAGCTCTTTGTAGTACAGCTCTACACAACTCTTTATGCCTTTTGTAATCAGAGAGGTTACACATTGATGTTTCATATCTCAAATACTTGTTACCTGAACAGAAGCACGATAACAGTCGGGCTCCACAGACAGCAACACTTCTGTTCTGTTCCCCTGACTCATGCAAAATCTCACATATTCCACTATTTTTTTACATTTGGAGAGGCCAGAAAGCAGGAAGCCTGTGAGCACAGGGTGGCACAGTACTGCTCCCATACTGCTGCTCATGCTGTGGTATTTGGCTCTGGCTCGGGGAGAGATCCATGCACGACGCCACCAGACAGCCAAGCTGGAAAGATACAGGCTTCTCACATTAACACTCCGTGAGCTGCATCAGAGAGAGTTACCATATTAGCTGGCTGAAATTGTGTCATACTCTTATTTTTAGTATGCTATTATGCCTCTGGGATATATTTTATTTATCAGGGAATTGGACCTAAGCAGATGTTGTAGCTGTTTTCTAAAAAGGGCTCTAGGCAACTCTCTGTGAGGTACCTGAAAGAGTGTATGGTTTGGGGATGGGGCAGAGTGAATGTGTGAGGCAAACAGAGTACATGCATCTTTTTTAGTCCTGAGCCACTATTTGGAAATTACAGTTAATTTTTCAGACAAAAAGTGACCTAAAATAAATTTAAAAAAAGATTGTTTTTTGCAATTTTTATACAGAAAAATAGAGGTTCTCCCAAAATGTCTCTAACTTAAAACAATATTATGAAACAGGACAAGCAAGAATTTGCTGGAGAACTTGGCAAAATGTATCAACAGTGGTATGGGATTGCCCAAACGATGGACAGTGACTATAATGGATAAAGCAGTGAGCTGCAGGCCCGTGCGCATGCGGGTGTTTCCTTCCAGGGGAGCTGCGAGTCCTAATGAAGAACACAGGAATCATAATTTGCATGGGCAAAGTTCTTGTTCTTCAGTGTCAGCACAAAAAGCTGAGTTCTGCTTCCCCAGGCAGCATCTTGGAAAGCTGCCCTGGTTTCTTGGCTACAGTATGGACCCTCTAAGAGAGCTTGGAGAGCAGATGAGAGCATCAACTTGGTGAGACACATGTTAGGGACAGCTAACTGGGAAAAGTTAAAAAAAAAAAAAAAGGGGGGATATTTAGATTGAAGATAGGAAAAAAGACATTTTATCACGTGTTTCATCAAACAGTGTTGACAAGAAGTGGCAAAACTACACATGGAAGGCATTAGGAAATAAAATCATTTTGTAACATCTTGGGTATGGGCACTGCAGCAGACAAAGGACACCAACAGGGATGGACTGCAGTCACACTGCTAAGAAACAGAGGGAACACAGAACTGCAAAAGCTTTTGTCAATAGAATTTCATACTCAGTTATTGTCACAGGGCTCTCAAATTTTATTTCCTGCATTTATTTTGGTAAAAGGCCAGTCTTTTACATGACCTCCATAATTTTTTACCTTTTACATGACCTCCATAATTTTTTTAATTTTAATTTTATCAATTAAATTGTCTTTACTTCAAGGAAGGTCATTTTCTTCCCTTTTAAGGCAGTTGATTTCCCTTCGAATTTTGAATCACTTTGTAAGAAAACTGACCACAAATATTTTCTCTTACAGAGATGAACCAACCCCACCATGCTAATGTCTGCAAGCCTTTGATTTTGTGATTATTATACTAGATGGAGCCCACCCACAGAGGAGACCACTCAGGGACTTTTTTAATTCTTCTTAACTGGCTGAAAAATCGTTGTGCCAGGTGGCAATTTTAACACAGGTAAAGAGTGAACAATAAATACGCACCAGCACGGGATCCTCAGGAGATGCGTGGCCTCTTCTGTGTGCTGCAGCTGCTGGGTGTTGGCTGCCTCTCTGAGCAGGGATCACAACCAATTTCTAATCTCATGCCTGCTTCTGGTCAGGGCAAGCTACACAGTCAGGGTTCATTTGAACCTACCAGACAGTCTAAGAATTCACAGGTTATTTTGTTTCTCAACAAATCCAGGTGTTGTGCTGGGCTCTTTTCTGCACAGCAATTCCAAAGGCCTTTGACTCACCTTCCCTCCCTGCCCAAAACTGTGGTCAGGAGGGTAGGTGGCAGGGAGCAGAGGCTGATTCAGCAGCAGCTATTGCTCATTTTCTTGTCACTCTGTAGGTCGCTGGCTCACAAAAATCTCTGTGGAAATGCATCTAAAACTATTTTGAAAACTTGGCCTCCACTGATGAGAAAATTAAGTGGTGACTCATGCTCCCGTCAGCTCCAGACTTGACTACTGCAATTTGATGGACTGAGAAGCTGATATTGCATGGAGACTGCAATTTGCTTAGGGGGTTAGCCGAGAGGCCTCATTGGCACCAGTTGTTTCCAACACATGGATCTCTCTTGTCCTTTTGATCACTAACAAATTTGATTTCACTTCTCACTGAAGATCTCACTCTCCACCTTTCTGTCAAGAGAACAATTCAGAGGTTGCTTCCATGACCTATGCTATATCTCTAGATTCCAGAAGGAAGTAGACCTGCCTGGAGCAATGCCTCACACCTGCACTTCCCAGCATTGCTTTCTCTTGCTTTCTCTAGTCCTGCACAGCTAAAGTCATAGGCAAGTCCTTGTCCATGTGACTGTAGAAGATTACTTATCATCTTGTAGGGCGCCCTCTGTTGAATGAGAATTCTACAGGAACCATTCACATAAACTTTCAACAGCTGAAGTCAAAATGCTTCCTCAAAGAAGGCACAGTCTAATTATTGAAAGGGATAATGTGGTTGAAGTGATAAAATGGCAAAGAGGTGACAACGTCCCTCATCTGACACTGTCCTGACAGGATGCCTGGGAGATTGGGAGTCAGAAAGAGAGATTCAGTTTGCAAGATGCTGGAAAGGGCAGGCCACCAAATCTAAAGTAAAACACTCTTCATTTACTCTCATCATGTGCTACATTATCCCTGAGCTTTGTTAGAACAATGGCAGGGCTCTTCAAACAGCTTCCCTGGGGAGACCGCTCTGCAGCTTAACAACCTTGCACTGGAGATGTGCAAGTGTAACCAAGGGCAGAATTTAGTCTCTTGTCTATTTAATGTGATTGCAAGGCACTGCCTGTGTTTCTGGCACTTTATAATAACAGTAATAAAAATGCTTTTGGATTATAACAAAATGGAGAAACTATGATTTAGCCCTTTACAAATACAAAGCCGTGATTGTCTGCTGTAAAGCTTCTGTATGAGATTATGATTTAATACAAAACACAGTTCAGTGTCTGAAATTTAATTTTTAATGGTAGAATAACATCAAAAAAAAGTAGCTCTTTCTCCATATGCAGTCTTGCAAAAAAATGTATACCAGGGACTTGGTCCTTTCTAGTCATTTCTACATATATAACTGGTCATCTCTTATGCACGTATGCACTTGCACATAAATCAATGTGCTTGCAGACAGACCATATTTCATCTTGCCTTCTAACCTCCTGCTGTCAAGATATTTCCACAGAAAACCATACACAAATAAAACTAACAGCTCCTTTTTCACTGACTGCCAGAGGAACATAGGGGACTACTTCTGTAAAACCAAGCTGCTGGATTACTCTCCTTCTGCTCTGTGAACAAGCACAACTGTGCAGCTTCTGCTGAGACTGCCTTTCTGTCACATAACCTATTCACACTAACTAGAGGATCTATAAGAAAAAACACAGCCACACTTTTGATTTTAAGTACATTAAAAATTATTTATCTTGATAAGATAAATTACTGGAGTCAACAAAAGCTTTTTGATTTAGTGCACAAAAAGGGAAATAAAATGTTTGAGTAACTCAACACAAAGTGCTAACATTCCCTGTGACCTCTGAAGTGCTGTTTTACTGTTTGGGTGGGGTTTTTTACCTCTGCTATCATTAGATGGGATTATAGAGATGCAGAAATAAGAAGTGTTGATGATCAAGAAAATCCTCATGTTTTAACATGGGTAAAGTTCTCATTTTGCCTGATTATGTTTAATATTGGTTAAATTTAAAGTTAAGAAGTTGAGAAGATTTCAGAACTGTTCTAACCCTTTACTGGAAAATTGTTTGGGTTCAATGAATTAATTTTCAGTTGATGACAACTGGCAGTATTCTGAGGACTTTCTTTCCCCAAGTTTAGTTAATAATGTATTTCCATACAATTCATGGATTTGGGTTTTTTTTTAAACAAACCAACAGTTTTAAAGCTCACCCACAAAAGAATGAAACATAGATAACAGAGGTAAAATTTGACCTAGAGGATAAGTAATTTTGTCTTGTTTTCCTATTAACAAAATTAAATTCAAAACCATTCTGTTTATTAAAGACATATAACAAGCCATAAACCAAACATCTTAACAGTCTTTAAATGTAACAAAATTGATGCACATAATTAAATTTCATTAAGTATGGATTTAAAATATGTATTTCAGTTTTGCTTTATATTCCCCTTAGACCAACACCTCTAACACTCATACACAATATTTAGGCTGCTCCAAGCAATCAACAAGGACTTTGTAAAGACCCCAACAAAGCTACATCATAAAACAGTTTGAAATATTCTTAAATGTGGAAAGAAAATTAACAAAAAACAAAGGATGTGTTCAGTGGAAAATAAGCAAGTTGTTGGATGTACTGAAAGTCGTAGATTCAGTACACAGAGGTAGCTCAGTAAGGGTACCTGCAGTGTTCTGACTATTCAGCATTGACACAACCACAGTCAGTTACTGTCTGCTTGAACTCTTCCTATATATTTTGAAGAAGTGGACACTCTTTCTGGGCCTGTTGTTCTGCCATTCAAAATCAACAGAAAGAATCATTGATTTCAGTGGAATTGGGATCAACTCTTTATATACTCTGGAAATTCAGATTTATGGAAACAGAACAAAAGGAAACTGTCCTGAGTTGGGAAGGAGTCCCCTGCTGTAAGTAGGATTTTTAAGCCCAAAGGAATTTTTTTCCCATACGGAGCCAGTTACCACTTAACATGCTTAGGGAAGGGGAACCTTGAATTTGGTCCAAGAACATGCATGCTATTCTCTCCAGTTCCCCACAGGTGGATCTGCCCATGCTATCTCGGGATGCACTGATCAAATCCATGAGCTCACTGCCCACTGCCCTTTACATCAATGGCCAGTGAGTAGAGAGCACAGCCCTGGGGGACACGGGCACTGGACAGTGTCCCTCAGCTGTCTCACCCCCTCAGTGGGAAGAGCTCGATCCTCCTCCAGGGAAGGAAAGAGTTCAGCATGTTGCCACCTCCCACACCTTTGTCACATGGTTGTTTTATTGGTGATAACAATCCTGAACAGGGTGATGCTGTCAGCATACCCCGTAGTTTCTCACACAGACGGCAACAGAGACTGACCGTCAGGTAAAGCACCGGCGATTGGTACCAAATTACTTTCCTGTTTTTCACAGGAATAATGGACTAGAAATAACAGACTGGGTAAACCAAGCACATTATTTTTTCACTAAGGCAAAAGGATATGAATTTCACATGCCTATTGTCACACAAAAGATCTTTAGCTTGTGTAAACGGCTACAGCCGTATCAGAGCTACGGTAGTTTATATTTCCTAAAGATCTGCTCCAAGGTGTTTGCACTCATTTGCACTATTAACTGCAATGTTAACCATGACACATATGGAACTTCTGCATTCATATCAATCTAAGTTTGACCTATTTCTTTAATTACTTTTAATATTTTAATGCACAATTGCCAGCATACTTTTTGCACATGGGTACACCTCCCAGTCTGGACTATGTATGTTTCTGAAATCTATCCAGACAAGATGCATTGCTGGTTATATGTTTAAATACATGCCTGCATTCCTTTCTCTTCAACACTTCTCTTATAAATAGTACTTAGTATTCTTTTGTTATACAAGTTTATTAAAAAGAGTAATATTATTTTTTAAAAAGTTGTGGCTGATTGTCAAATGAGCTAAGATAGCATTTCTGTTACTCTAAGGATCCTTTTAATTACAAAACAAAACAAAAAAAATTGTCAAGTTCCTTGTCCTCACAAGGTATTATTCATTACCAATGCAGCAATAAAGAAAACATAGCTTGGCATACTACAATAAAAGCTCTGTTTCAATATTAGCATCCTAACATCTGTCACTGTAGGTCTCCGGGTATTGCACAAGGGGAAGGAAAAGGAAAAAAAGGAACCCCAAAATTTGTCTTCTTCAGGGGTAAATTACAAAAAGATAGCTGCAAACACAAATACTTCACTCAGAACCCAATCACTAGACCATTTCTTTGAAAAAGCTTATGAGGCATTTAAGATATACAATGGCACAGTATCATACAATGGAATTGAAAGAATTTTCTTGAGAAACCATTAACTTTGAAGGAATGTCTAGACAACTGTGTCAACAAATGCAAATGATTCATGCTTCTCAGCTTCTATCCAATGGATGGCCCCATGCTGAGTATACACAAACTCAGAAGAAAAAGGCATGTCACAGTCATATGACTACGGAGTGTAACAGAGTCACACAGAAATTCAAGTCAATCTCAGAAAAAAACCTTCAGAAAGCTCTTCCCCAGGGTAAGCCAGCAGTGGGATAGGCTTCTGGTCATTTTGGCTAGTTTAAAACAGAGACTTACAGCTGATGCACCTTGGCTTCAAAGCAGGGGCAATGGAAGAAACAGCTGTCAGTCATGACCATTCACTTGGTTAGAAAAATAAAAAACTAAAGGACTCCAAAATACTGTACAACCTCTTGCAGTAACCAACACAGTGGCTTCTGGAAACAATGCTTTTGCCAAGAATGCATCTGTAAGGCACTTAACAGGTATCTTTTAATATATATATATATATAAAAATAAAATATGCACTGAAGCAACATTCACAAAACCCAGTTGTCTCAATTGTCCATGTGTACAGTATAGTACATATATACATTCACTGTGACACAGGCCATCTCCACAATTATACCTTCACGGGTGCTTTGGGCTGCCTGGTTAACTTCAGTGCCTGTGAACAGCAAACAAAACAATCACTATTCCTATTTTTAAAGCACAACCAACAGCACAAGATAAGATTTTCATTTATAAGGGGCAACAAAATTCTGCGTGTACTTCTGGGAGGCTGAGAGAGGAGTCAGCACGGAGCTCACAGGCCACTCTGGGCTCTGTGATGATGCTTCTGACTCTGATAGCCCATACACATACACAGACAGCCTTCACAGAGGAAACACAAGGGCTATGCCTACAGTGCCAGTGATGGAAAAGGAGATGGGTCTCAGATGCCTTTTAGAAAGCAACTATTTGGAGCCCGCTCAAACTACTTGTGGCAGAGACAGAAGAGCTTCTGACCCACTTAGGGAAAGCATGCAAAGAAAATTTCTGCCAACACCCTTGTTTTCCCTGGCTTCCTTCCACATGGGTCAAAGCCTGCTCAAAGGATAGTCACTGCTGCAGTGGTGGATGTCACGCACCTCAATAACTATACCTTCCTTCCTGAGAAAAGGTAAGAACAAGCCAAGGCCCACCAGTTCAGGGGTGATCTTACGCCAGGGGACACCTGATGTGTTTGAAGCTGTAGTCTACTGCTGCTGAAGAAGAGAAAAACCCCATGCCTTTATCTGACGAGAGGGTCCAGCTCTGTCTTCCCCACAGAGTTGGCCAACTATGGTAGCTGAGCCATTTATTCAGTGTGCAACAGAACTTCAACTCAATGACAGATTATCATGCTTCCAGTTTGGAGGAAGGAGCCTCTCTAACTTAGGAGAGAAATGTGACAGGCTCAAAGGGTGTTAGGTTTTCAGCTGCTCCTGTATACCGATGTGGTCACTCTGAAGGATGCTGGCTGTTGGTGTGCTCTGCAACAAGAAAACTCAGTGCTTTCTTGTGCAGGACAAATTGACCTGAGTGAGAGGGAAATCAGCAACATTTGCAAACGCCTAAAATCTGGGACCTCTGTTTTCCTTCGGTCTTTTGGGTGAAAAGCCCTG